ACTCTGGGGCAGAGAGTTCCACTGCTGAACGGCTCTCACAGTCAGGAAGTTCTTCCTCATGTTCAGATGGAATCTCCTTTCTTGTAGTTTGAAGCCATTGTTTCGTGTCCTAGTCTCCAGGGCAGCAGAAAACAAACTTGCTCCCTCCTCCCTGTGGCTTCCCCTCACATATTTGATGGCTATCATATCTCCTCTCAGCTTTCTCTTCTTCAGGCTAAACATGCCCAGCTCCTTAAGCCACTCCTCATAGGGCTTGTTCTCCAGACCCTTGATCATTTTAGTCGTCCTCCTCTGGACACATTCCAGCTTGTCAATATCTCTCTTGAATTGTGGTGCCCAGAATTGGACACATGTTTGGATGTTGCAAGGGACTCTCTCATAGTGCAGTGAGTTAAACCGCTGAGCTGCTGAATTTGCTGGCTGAAAGGTTGGCGGTTCAAATCTGGGGAATGGGGTGAGCTCCCACTGTTAGCCCCAGCTTCTGCCAACCTAGCAGTTCAAAAATATGCAAATGTGAATAGATCAATTTGTACTGCTTCTGTTGTCGAATGTAAGAAGGTATTGGCGCACCATGCAGTCATGACTGCATGACCTTTATTTGTTTATGACATTTATATTTTATTTTTATTTTTATTATTTATTTCGCGTACTTCTACCCCGCCCTTCTCAACCCCCGAGGGGTGACTCAGGGCGACTTACAAAAAGACACAATTCGATGCCTACACTGTAATCCAAATAAGATATAGACAGCAATTAAAAACAGTTATAACAGTTAAGAACAATCAATATATATCACAGTCAATAAAAAGCAATCTTATGCTCAACGTTCGCAACTCAGAGTCCATAGCTTCATTCCACATTTTCCATTCCTATCAGTCATCATTGTCCTTTATTTATCTGCCAGATTGCCCAAACGCCTGGTCCCAAATCCATGTTTTTAATTTCCTTCTAAAGGAAAGGAGGGATGACGATGATCTAATTTCCCCAGGGAGTGAATTCCCTAGGTGATGGGCCACCACCGAGAAGGCCCTGCTCCTCGTCCCCGCCAATCTCACTTGTGATAAAGGCGGGGCCTGAGTCCCCCCCAAAGGAGACTCAGAGCAGCTTACAAGATATATATACATACAATATATTAAGTTAGTAGCATAGTACAATATCAGTATTAAATATTACTATATTGTACTATGCCATTATATTGTAATATTATTAGTAATATTACATGTAATATAAATATATAATTATAATATCATCATATTATTATTATTATTATTATTATTAGTAGTAGTAGTAGTAGTAGTAGTAGTAGTAGTATATTGCATTACATTATAATATTATAAATATTTTATGGACAACACTGGCTTAGAAATGGAGATAAGCACCACCCCCCAGAGTTAAGAACAACTAGGCTTAATGTATTGTCGAAGGCTTTAATGGCCGGAATCACTGGGTTGTTGTAAGTTTTTTCAGGCTATATAGCCGTGTTCTAGAGGCATTTTCTCCTGACATTTCGCCTGCATCTATGGCAAGCATCCTCAGAGGCAGTGAGGTCTCTTGGAACTAGGAAAGTGGGTTTATGTATCTGTGGAATGACCACGGTGGGGCAAAGAACTCTTATCTGTTGGAGCTAGGTGTGAATGTTTCAACTGACCACCTTGATTAGCATTTTATGGTCTGGCAGTGCCTGGGGCAATCTTTTGTTGAGAGGTGATTAGATGTGCCTGATTGTTTCCCCTCTTTTGTTTTGCTGTTGTAATTTTAGGGGTTTTTTTAGTACTGGTAGCCAGATTTTGTTCATTTTCATGGTTTCCTCCTTCCTGTTGAAATTGCCCACATGCTTGTGGATAGACTTAATGTCAGGGGAAACCTATACCTTTACTTCACCTTGGATGTTGCTTGGTTTTTACTTGTGAAATGTTAGATATATAACCAGCGCACATTCTTATTTCTATATCAGTGTTTCTCAACTTGGGAGTCAGGACACCTGGGTGGGTCACGAGGGGTTTTCAGAGGGGTAACCTAAGACCATCAGAAAACACAGTATTTTCTGTTGGTCATGAGGGTTCTATGTGAGAAGTTTGGCCCAATTTTATCATTGGTGGGGTTCAGAATGCTCTTTGATTGTAGGTGAACTATAAATCCCAGCAACTACAACTCCCAAATGTCAATGCTTGTTTTCCCCAAACTCCACCAGTGTTCACATTTGGGCATATTGAGTATTTGTGCCAAGTTTGGTCCAGATCCATCATTGTTTGGATCCACAGTGCCTTCTGGATGTAGGTGAACTACAACTCCAAAACTCAAGGTCAATGCCCACCAAAACTATACATCCCAGCAACTACAAATCCCAAATGACAAAATCAACCCCCCCTCCCCCCCAACCCCCCCAGTATTCAGATTTGGGCATATTGTGTATTTGTGCCAAATTTGGTCCAATGAATAAAATGCATCCTGATATCAGATATTTACATTACAATGCATAACAATAGAAAAATTAGAGTTATGAAGTGGCAACATAATAATTTTATGGTTGGGGGTCCCCATAGCATAAGGAACTGTGCCATTAGGAAGGTTGAGAACAACTGATCTATATGATGTTGTAATTGCCTAGAATGGAATAGCATTTGGATATTTCTTTTGACCAAGGGTTTGTGAGACAGCAGTGAATGGGTCATTGTTCTCTTAATGTCAGCTACTATCTGCAGAATATGGCCTAGCTTGACCAACTTCAGGCCATGTGTTTTGAATACACAAATCCTATTCAGAATGGATCAGGAATAATAGTGATAGCGATGTATAGAGAGTCTGGGTGATATTGCACTTTTGAGTGGGAGATCTAGGGTGAAGGCAAAGGAAAACCCACTCAAAACACATCTTGCCAAGAAAACCCATAAGTCAGAAATGACTTGAAAGTATATGACAACGAAAGTATTAAAATGAGTGTGGTGTATTTTCAGGAAATGCAACTTGGAGGAAAAGCCCCACCTGGGTCCTCATCGTGACACGGCCACAACAAAGCTGTATCATGTGAGCTCAGGAAACATTCCCCCGGGGCTACTGACATGAGTCATGGGCAGAGGCGAAACTTGAATCCAGGCCTTCCAGCCTGAAGGTATTTCTCTTGACTTGAAGCAGGCGTTATCTAGTCCAGGAGCCCCTTCCTCAGCTGCCTGAGCACAGAAGCTGCCGCCGAGTCAGAAGAGCCACTGAAAGCGTTATCTAATCTCCTGTAATAAAAAGGATCCTTCTCAAAGCGAAAGCAGAGGCTGCGCCTGCGTTTGGCCCATCGCTTCTGCCTTGCGCTGAATCATTTTTTAAACAAAAGAGAAAGCAAAGGAGAGGAAGAGAGAAAAGTGAAGACAAGAGTCAAAAAGACTTCATTGGAAATAGTTCAGCAAGAAGGTAAAGAGAGATGAACAGAGATGGAGAGGCTATGCATGGAAGAGAAGAAGAAAGAAAGAGAAAAATGAAGCAAGCAAGCAAGCAAGATCTCTTGTGGGGAAATAGTTGGCTCAGCAATGAGGTGAAGAAAGGTGAATGGAGAGAGGAGGCTATGGAAGGAAAAGAGAGAGAGAGAGAGAGAGAGAAAAGGAAGGAGGGAAAGAAAACACTTGAGGAAGAAGATTGGTTCTGAGAGAAAGAAAAAGGACGGACGGACAGACGGACGGAAGGACGGACGGAAGGAAGGAAGGAAGGAAGGAAGGAAGGAAGGAAGGAAGGAAGGAGGGAAGGAAGAAAAAGTGAGGGATAAGATTGTTTCAGAGAGAAACAAAAGGAAGGAAGGAAGGAAGGAAGGAAGGAAGGAAGGAAGGAAGGAAGGAAGAAGAGGAAAAACTGGGGAGAAGATTTCTGAGACAAAAAAAAGGGGCGGACAGAAGGAAGAAAGGAAAGAAAAGGAAGGAAGGAGGAAAAACATTTGAGGGATAAGATTGTTTCAGAGAGAAACAAAAGGAAGGAGGAGGAGAAGGAAGGAAGGAAGGAGGAAGGAAGGAAGGAAGGGAGGGAAAGAAGGAAGGAAGAAAGAAGAGGAAGGAAGGAAGAAAGAAACACTTGAGGGAGAAGATTGGTTAGAGAAGAGAAGGAAGGAAGAAAGGAAGGAAGCAAGGAAGGAAGGAAGGAAGGAAGGAAGGAAGGAAAAAACACTTGGAGAAAATGAGAGAAAGAAAAGGAGGAAGGAAGGAAGGAAGGAAGGAAGGAAGGAAGGCAGGAAGGCAGGCAGGCAGGCAGGCAGGCAGGCAGGCTTGAGGGAGAAGATTGGTTCTAAGAGAAAGAAAAGGAAGAAAGGAAGGATGGAAAGAAAGAACACTTAACGGAGATGATTGGTTTTGAGAGAAAGGAAGGAAGAAGGAAGGAAGGAAGGAAGGAAGAGGAAGGAAGGAAGGAAGGAAGGAAGGAGGAAGGAGGAGAGCAAAGAAAAGGAAAGAAAGGAAAGGAAGAAAGAAAGGAAGGAGGAAGGAAGGAAGGAAGGAAGGAAGGACTAAAAGGAAGAAAAGGAGAAGGAAGAGAAGGAGAGAAAGAAGAAAGGGGAGAAAGAAAAAAGAGGAAGGAAAAAAAGGGAAGGAGAAGAAGAAAAGGAAGGAAGGAAGGAAGAAGGAAGAAGAAGGAAGGAAGGAAGGAGGAAGGAAGGCAGGCAGGCAGGCAGGCAGGCAGGCAGGCTTGAGGGAGAAGATTGGTTCTAAGAGAAAGAAAAGGAAGAAAGGAAGGATGGAAAGAAAGAACACTTAACGGAGATGATTGGTTTTGAGAGAAAGGAAGGAAGGAAGGAAGGAAGGAAGGAAGGAAGGAAGGAAGGAAGGAAGGCAGGCAGAAAGACTTGAGGGAGAAGTGATTCTGAGAGGCAAAGGAAAGGAAAGGAAAGGAAAGGAAAGGAAAGGAAAGGAAAGGAAAGGAAAGGAAAGGAAAGGAAAGGAAGGAAGGAAGGAAGGAAGGACAGAAGGAAAGAAAGAAAGAGAGAAAGGAGAGAGAAAAGGAAGGAAGGAAGGAAGGAAGGAAGGAAGGAAGGAAGGAAGGAAGGAAGGAAGGAAGACTTGAGGGAGAAGACTGGTTCATCATTGAGATGAATAAAGAGCAATAGACAGATGGAGGGACTATGCAGGGAAAAGAAAATGAGTGAATGAGAGAGAAAGAAAGGAAAGAAAAAGACTTGCAAGTAGATAGTTCAGTAATTAGATAAAGAAAAATGAATGAAGAAATTGAGAGGCTGTGCAGAGGAAAGAAGACAAAGGTGCGAGAAAGGGAATGAAAGAAACAAAAAGGAAAGAGAAACAAAACTTTCAGAGATGTGGTTGATTCAACAATGAGGTGAGTAAAGATGTATGGAGAGATGGAGAGGCTGTGCAAGGAAAAGAAGGTAAGAGAAGAAAGAAAGAAAGAAAGGATAGGCAGAAAGAGCAGGCAGAAAGACAGGCCAGAGATTTGCTGCTTTTGCCAGAGTCTCCCCTGGTGAAGAAGTTATATACAGCCCTGCTGACTCCCTCCTTCATTTCCTGGGTGGAGCTGGCGCTGGGGAAAGGAGAAAAAAACCCGCTTTAAAAACCTCCAAGCCCTCAGTCAGCAAGTCCCAACAGGAGTGGTAAAATTACAGCCTTTCCTGCCGAGGAAGAAAGAAGAGCCAGCTGGCTCTGGGGAGCGAAGAAGCGGCAGGAGGCAACAGCAGCAAAGCCAGAGCACAGCCGCCTGGAGGAACCTCCCGAATCTTGACCCTGGATTTGGCCCCAGTCCCCAAAGCAAGTGTGGTGCCACTTTCCTGGGAACTCAGGGCACTTCTTGTCTTGGGTAAAGCTGGAGTCCCTTGACTGGCTCAGAAAAGATCCTTTCTTGACTCAAACCAGAGAGACAAGGTGTGTTGGCCTTCTCTGGGAGATGGACATTTGGGCTGCAGCTGTGGCCTGGTGCCAAGGGTGAACCTGGGTACATCTAGCAGCCGGACACATGGACAGCCGAGGTGCCAAGGTGAGTTTCCTGTCACCTTTGAGAAAGTGCCACCCTGGATGGTTGATCCACTCCAAGTAGGAAGAAACTCTAGTCAGAAAAGAAAACTAGGATATATTTTGAAGGACTTCATGGCAAGTGGCACATTGGTAGGAAACAAGGTTCTTCTTCAGATGACAGAGGCTTAAAAAGAAGTGAGTAAACGTCAAGCAAAGTTTTGTTTTCTTTTTTCTCTTTGCCTTTTTGGGGGCCGAGCTAAAGAGCAGAAGTGAGACGGTGGGAGGAAGCATGAAGCAGTCGGTGCCAAGAGGCTGCGGCTGGCAGAGCGATGCCCGACGTGCCCCAGGGGCCCTTGGCATGCGTCGGCGGGCCGTGGGCTGGCTTTTCCTCCTGCTCCTGGCCTTGGAGCACTTCTGCTCCGCTTTGGCCCTCTCCACCTGCAAAACCCTGGACATGGACATGATGAAGCGCAAGCGCATCGAAGCCATCCGAGGCCAGATCCTCAGCAAGCTCAAGCTCTCCAGCCCACCAGAGGTGGAAGACCCAGACTCCAGGGTCTTGTCCGATGAGATCATGGCGCTCTACAACAGCACCTTGGAGGTGATCCGGGAGCAGGTGGTCGAAGACCCCAAGGAGACATCTCAGGAGGAGTATTACGCCAAGGAGATCCACAGGTTCAACATGCTGCCTCTAAACCACGGTGAGGCCTGGGCTGGGGCTGGGAGGAGAGGAAGTGGGGTCTATTGCATTACAGAAGACCTAGTAGTAGTTGTTTGCTGATCTTTCTCTCTGGTGGCAGGAAATGGACACATTTTGCCAGGCTTCCACATTCGGAGAGATTGGAAAAGGTACTTTTGGAGTACAAAACCCACACTTGGCTCTGACAGTTGTGTGGACTTTATGGGGTTATAATCCAAAAAGTAATATCCAGAAAGCAACACCTTTCTGGATAGGAGGGCATAAACTATTTAATTTTTGAAGCTCAGGAGGACTGGGTTAAAAAGTCGGTAAAGTATTCCCAGGTCAGGCTACTAGAAGATGCCATGGACCTCAGCAAACCTCATATTTTGAGCTGGAATAGAGTAATTAAACTGTGATACATGGGCTGGAAAAGACACTTGTTGGTGACCTTAAGTGAAAAACTTTCTGGTGTTTCCTAAGTTTCTTGGCCTTGTTTTTGTCCATCTGTAAAATGGGAACATTAACTCTTAGGGATTTGCAAGGGATGGAAGTCGAAAGGCAGTGCCTGTTATCTGCACGATGGAAAGTTTCAGATATTTTCTTTGTAAACATTGGAAAAGCAATAGATACAGCTGAGGACAGTGAGGTGGAGAAGGAAAAGCAATGTGGGGTTACCTTGTTTCTTTCTTACCTACTAACACAAACTGAAGTTAGTGTAAGCAAACTAGTCAGAACACTTATATTGGGTGATTTTATGCTTTACCCTAGTACATGGATGTTTATTTAGAATCATAAAGTTGGAAGAGACCTCGTGGGCCATCTAGTCCAACCTCCTGCCAAAAAACAGAAAAGCAAATTCTAAGTCTAAATACTCTAAAGGCACTAGATCTTGCTGATTTTGGAAGCTAAGCAAGGGTAGCCCTGGTTAGTACCTGGATGGGAGGCTGTCAGTGAACACCAGGGTTTTTGTGTGTGTCAGGAATCATAGAATCATAGAATTTTAGAGTTGGAAGAGACTTCGTAGGCCATCCAGTCCAACCCCATTCTGCCAAGAAGCAGGAAAATTGCATTCAAAGCACCACCGACAGATGTCCATCCAGCCTCTGTTTAAAAGCCTCCAAAGAAGGCGCCTCTACCACACTCCTGGGCAGAGAGTTCCACTGCTGAACAGCTCTCACAGTCAGGAAGTTCTTCCTAATGTTCAAATGGAATCTCCTTTCTTATAGTTTGAAGCCATTGTTCCGTGTGACTTGAGAAATTGCAAGGAGTGACTTGAGAAACTGCAAGTCACTTCTGGTGTGAGAGAATTGGCTGTCTGTAAGGACGTTGCCCAGGAGACACTTGGATGTTTTATCATCCTGTAGGAGGGCTCTCTCGTGTCTCTCTATGAGAAGATGGAGCTGACAGACGGGAGCTCATCCCACTCCCTGGATTCGAACTGCCAATCTTTTGGTCAGCAGTCCTGCCAGTACAAGGGTTTAATCCATTTTGCCATCTCCAAATGCTGGAGGCTCTATTTCAGAACTTGCAAAACTACCTCTGAATAGTCTTTTTTTAACAAAACCCTATGAAATTCTTGGGTTTGCTGTAAACCGACAGGCCTATATGACTTTTACTTACTTACTTAGGCAATCCCTTGTGGTCCGAGGATGATGTCCTCCAAGTGTAGTATACTGACGGGCCTATATATACACAAAGGCCTATATATACACAAAGCCTATATATACACAAAGCATTTCAGGATTCCCTATCAATGCCTCAAGGCAAAAAAGAATTGTCACCTTTTTATAATCCGGCCTGACAGCTCTGCCTTTCACAGGATCCCGACAAGCAAAAGATTTAACAGACAAAGGCTTCTTTTGAGAAGGAGAGAAAGTGATAGGAAGAAGCTTAAGCTGTCACATTTTCTGTCTGTTAGGATGCAGTTAAAAGCTCCGGCTCGGGGCCAGCTGCAAACCTGCAAACTATCATTTCAACCAGAGTTGTGATGTCTTGCATGATACCCTTTGAACTGAAAACGAATGGGATGTGTGACACCTTTTATAAAAATACAACCAATTTATTATAGCATGAGTTGTTATAGCTACACAACTCACTTCTTCAGAATCCCCTTCTCTGAGTAAAGTGGTAAAAGGTGAGAGTTTCGTCCAGTGTTTCTCAACCTCCCCAATGCCGCAACTCCTCAATACAGTTCCTTATGTTGTGGTGACTCCCAACCATAACATTATTTTTATTGCTACTTCATAAGTGTAATTTTGCTACTGTTATGAATCGTAATGTAAATATCTGATATGCAGGATGTATTTTCATTCACTGGACCAAATGTGGCCCAAATTTGAATACTAGTGGGGTTGGGGAGGAGATTGATTTTGTCATTTGGGAGTTGAAGTTGCTGGGATTTATAGTTCACTACAATCAGAGACGATTGTGAACTACACCAATGATGGAATTGAACCAAACTTGGCACATGACCCACAGATAATACTGGAAGGGTTCACTGGGCATTGAGCTTGAGTTTTAGAGTTGTAGTTCACCTACATTCAGAGAGCACTGTGGACTCAAGCAATGATAGGTCTGGAAAACAGACCTTGACATTTGGGTGTTGTCGTTGCTGGGAATTATATTTCACCTACATCCAGAGAGCACTGTGGACACAAACAGTGATGGATCTGTACCAAATCCTCAATATGCCCAAATGTGAACACTGCTGGAATTTGGGGAAAATAGAGCTTGATATTTGGGAGTTGTAGTTGCTGGGATTTATAGTTGACCTACAATCAAAGAGCATTCTGAATTCCACCAATGATGGTATTGAACCTAACTTGGTACACAGAACTCCCATGACCAACAGAAAATACTGGAAGGGTTTGATGGGAATTGACTTTTGAGTTTGGAAGTTGTAGTTCACCTACATCCAAAGGGCACTGTGGATTCAAACAATGAGGGATCTGGACCATACTTGGCAGAAATACTCAATATGCCCAAATGCGAACACTGGTGGAGTTTGGGGAAACAGACCTTGACATTTGGGAGTTGTAGTTGCTGGGATTTATAGTTGACCCACAATCAAAGATCATTCTGAACTCCAGCAACAATGGAATTGAACCAAACTTGGCACATAGAACTCCCATGACCAGCGGAAAATACTAGAAGGGTTCAGTGGGCATTGACCTTGAGTTTTGGAGTTGTAGATCCATCATCCAGAGAGCACTGTGGACTCAAGCAATGATGGATCTGGACCAAACTTGGCACAAATACTCAATATACCCAAATGTGAGTACTGGTGGAATTTGGGGAAAAATAGAGCTTGACATTTGGGAGTTGTAGTTGCTGGGATTTATAGTTCACCTACAATCAAAGAACATTATGAACCCCACTAATGATAGAATTGGGTCAAACTTCCCACACAGAACTCCCATGATCAACAGAAAATACTGTGTGTTCTGGGTCTTTGGCACCCTCTGACACTCTCGTGACCCCCCCCCCAGAGGCCCTGACCCCCAGGTTGAGAAACACTGGCTTAGTCCATCCTTGGAGAAGAAAAGAGCTAGGTAGCCAAAGAAAACTGCTAAGAAGCCAGTATGCTAGAATGGTTTCAGAATTGCGTTATGTGGATCCACAGTTCTGGGGACCAGGGTTCAAATCCCGATTAGCCACAGAAACTGAGTGGGGTGAGTCACACTCTCTCAGCCTCAGATCAAGGCAAAGGCAAACCCTCTCTGAACAAATCTTGCCAGGAAAAACCCACGATAGGGCCGCTATCTCTAACATGAAATCTGTTATTTGGCTGCAAGTGAGAACTGAAATGAAGGCATGCAAGAGAAGGGCAAAGTCGTATTGGTTGCTGGTGATGGATGCTGGCACTCTGGAACTTGGCAACTGTTTACCATTCCCATAAGGACACGGCATGGAGTTTCCATTTGTTTTGCTCCAAAACGTTGTCCCGTAAGCAAAGTACAGGAAAAACATGGCCTGGCAAGACCTGAGGCTTCCTGCCTTTTCAGCTGACAGTTTTGGCTGCTGGAAGGAACACGCTTTTACTAGCAAAAGCGGTGCGGTTCTGGCCGGGAAGAGTCACGCAGGGTGCAGCACATGCTTTGCTTCCCATGGCACCAGATTCAGGCTTCAATTAACGAATGACAGGTATTGAAAAGTTTGAAAAGACCCAGCATGGAATTCTAGGCAGATGCAAGCAATATGTTTTGCTATGTGGGCAACTCTTGACCGAGAAGGACCCATAAATTGACTGAAGCTGGAAAGCAGTGTTTATTATCTTATTCTCCAGGACTATTCTTCATTTCAGGTTTTGCAATCCCTCTTTAATCCCCGAAACTTGGATTGGGGGAGAGAGGGAAGCAACACGCTGTAGACTTCCACATCACATCTTCTCTTCTGTTTTGGCAGGGACAGTTCCGACAACAACTCAGTCGTACCACTTTTTCAGCTGCCCTTTAATAGGCCCCTACACTGTAAAAATAATCCAGTTTGACACCACTTTAACTGACACAGAATCATAGAATCAAAGAGTTGGAAGAGACCTCATGGGCCATCCAGTCCAACCCCCTGCCAAGAAGCAGGAATATTGCATTCAAATCACCTCTGACAGATGGCCATGCAGCCTCTGTTTAAAAGCTTCCAAAGAAGGAGCCTCCACCACACTCCGGGGCAGAGAGTTCCACTGCTGAACAGCTCTCACAGTCAGGAAGTTCTTCCTCATGTTCAGATGGAATCTCCTTTCTTGTAGTTTGAAGCCATTGTTCCGTGGCCTAGTCTCCAGGGAAGCAGAAAACAAGCTTGCTCCCTCATCCCTGTGACTTCCTCTCACATATTTATACATGGCTATCATATCTCCTCTCAGCCTTCTCTTCTTCAGGCTAAACATGCCCAGCTCCTTAAGCCACTCTCATAGGGCTTGTTCTCCAGACCCTTAATCATTTTAGTCGCCCTCCTCTGGACACATTCCAGCTTGTCAATATCTCTCTTGAATTGTGGTGCGCAGAAATGGACACATGGCTCAAT